GAATATGAATCTTTTTATTTCATATTAATATCCTTATATTACATGTTCAGACATCGGTTGAATGATAGAATTAAATATAACAAATGTAAATCATAAAACAAAGTCATATATTACTCTAACATCCGTAACAGCAACAACCACGAGAAGGTTTCTGAACTTGTGTTGCCAAAATATTTTCACTGCTAAACAACGTGCAGTGTGCAGATATTGCTAATGCAATATCTTTTTAAGAAGTGGATTGTTAATTTATATACTGTCTTTGAATAGATGAGATATTAGAATTTCATATCTCATTCTTAATAGAGAATTTTATTTCTCTTTAGTGGATATTTTATAAGACAATATGCATTCTCTGTTTTTAATTTCATTTACAATATTAAAATGAAATAGAGAATAGAGAGACAGAGAAATAGAGAAATAGAGAATTTACTTCTGAAGGTAATGGATATTTGTTAGAGAAGATTATAGTACAGAAAACATTATTTTGTCTCTCTTTAATAAGAGAAAAATCTCTTTTGTCTTTCCACTTGCAATCCACTTCTTAGGTTGACAGTATTTTATTTAATTTGTAATTTTGTATAAGTGGATTGTTAATTTATATACTGTCTTTGAATAGATGAGATATTAGAATTTCATATCTCATTCTCAATAGAGAATTTTATTTCTCTTTAGTGGATATTTTATAAGACAATATGCATTCTCTGTTTTTAATTTCATTTACAATATTGAAATGAAATAGAGAAGAGAGACAGAGAAATAGAGAATTTACTTCTGAAAGTAATGGGTATTTGTTAGAGAAGATTATAGAACAGAAAACATTATTTTGTCTCTCTGTAATAAGAGAAAAATCTCTTTTGTCTTTCCACTTGCAATCACTTCTTAGGTTGACAGTATTTTATTTAATTTGTAATTTTGTATAAGTTTTGTGCATTTTGTGCAGTATACAAAGTGTACAAAAATATTTAAAGTCAGGACTTCCTACAGCTTGTAGCGATAAAGATTTTGAAGCTAGATTTTTATCGCAATCATAATGTAGCCAGCGACTACACATCCCACAGCTTATCCAGGAATCACTAGAAGACTTAAATTTTTTATTACAATTATTTTTACATGTTTAGTGATAAATCTGAATTTCGTTCATTTTATACCATGAATCGCATTTGATACATGCATAATATGAAGGATGATCTGTTAGCGAATCGCTAGAAGAGGTACAAATTGGACAAATTTATGAAAATTCCATTGCAATTTTTTCTGTGTTTTGTTAAACAGTTATTGCAAACTTGATTAAAAATTTTGGAATCGGTCAAATCATCAGTACAAGAATTAATGACACTGAAATGTTTATCTTTCTGTATCTATTAAGATTAAGAGCCAATGGGAATTGATATTATGTGGCGCTATATACTTTATACCTGATGATAAATCTAGAACAAAGTTATCATTTTTAATATTCATAATATGGTAATATTCATCAACAGTAAAAATTTTGAAGTTTTTGTTATTATTACCAATTGATGCTAAATGAGAGTCGATGATTATATCATCTAAACACTCATTTTTATACAAACTGAAGAAATTAATCAATTTAATTGCATATTTACCCAAAAATCCTATAAGATATGATTGACAGATATCCCTATCATATAAGTAGGGTTCTATGTAGAAATTGAAATCTTTAGCTACACAGTTTTGATACAAATCTATTACTAATTCTGCACCAGAGTCGGCAGAGTTATTCGTGTTCAAGCATTTATTTAAAGAAAAAGTGTTTTTCTTGCATAAATAAAAATTTACTGAACTTTTCATGAGAGATTTTTTGTTCCATGTTTCCATGTAATCTCTCACATCTACTGTTGTTATGTCATGGTCCTCATTTACATTTAATGACTTTGTATTGCTTTCTTTCAAACGTTCAATATTGTTCTTCCTGCTTACCTTCTCCTCCTGACCTCTATTTCTTCTCTTTTTTCTAATATAAATTCCGTTACTTTTTTCAGAATTAGGTTTCTGTAATAAAGGAGATCTATTTATTAAATCATTATTGCAATACTCGATATAGTCTTCAATTATGTTTATACAACGTCCCATCTTCATATTTGTAACACCATGGCAGACATTGTTCTTTAATGTGTTAAAATAAGATTCGACAACAGCATTTGAATACAAATGTTTTCTGTCGTTGTCCAACATTAGACCTGACCACAAAGGTATAATTGGAATGTATCTATTTGTAATGTAATTTAAAAATGCCGGGTTAAAGAAAGGATTTTTGTATCCTTCCTTCGGCATACAGGGTGGCTGATATGTATTGCAACCAATTTCAGACCGCTATTATTTCTAAACCGCTCATCAGACAGATGACAGATTTATTCCAGTAATTGTTCATTTAATTGTTTACAAGCGTACAAAAGCATTTTGATCTGTTGCATTCAGAAAAAAAATTATTCGTGATGGAAGTCAAGCGTGATAGTGCGATTGCTTCATACTTGGCTGGAAAACCTTAAGTGGCTATATTTAGAGCCCTCCAGTATTTAAATACAAACAAATATTTTGTTTCTCGTACCATATCTCGTAACCGTGATACACTCAGTGTTGCACCGCGCCCAAAAAGTGGACGAAAAAAAACACTAACAACCCCAGAAATGATCCAAAAAGTATAGGCAAAAATTAATCGAAATTCGTGTCGCAGTGGTAAAAAAATGGCCCGTGAGCTGAATATGTCGTAAAAACGGATGCAACACATATTGAAAAATGAGCTTGGACTAAAGCCATTGAAGATCCAAACAGTGCAAGAGTTCATCGATGCACAAAAAAAAGTTAGACGGAAAGGAGCCAAGGGATTGCTTCGCTTGCGCGAAAGTGGCTAGTTACGAATTTGGTTTTCTCAGATAGGAAGTCCTTCCAAATCGAGCAGTTTGTGAACAAACAAAATGATAGGGTTTACTTGCCAAAAAGGTCAGCTAAAAATTTACACCTTCGATTGGCCAGCAGAACTCAAGCGCCGCCGACGGTAATGGTGTGAACCATCGTAACGGCCGATGGTGACATTCCGCTCTTATTCATCGACCGTGGGATGAAAATAATTGCCGAAATTATCGGAAAAATGTCTTAAAGGCAGTATTGAAGTCCTGGGTAGACAAAAATTTGGATCGCAGACCATGGACATTCCAACAGGACTCAGCACCATCAAACTCAGCACGCGTCTACCAAAAATGGCTTATAAAAGAGGTTTTTCGCTTCATTTCCATCGCACAATAGCCACCAAAATCTCTGGATCTAAATTCGCTGGACTTTTGTGTCTTGGACATTTTGAAGAGTAAGGTTCGCACTAAAAAATACCAAAGTGTCGATCATCCCAAAAAGGCGCCTCGCCGGGAATGGACCAAAATACCCCAGAGCCACTTTCGTGCAGCGTGTTATGGTTTCTGCCGTTTGAAGGCCATAATTCGTGCCAAAGGTGGACAATTAGAACAAATGTAAACTGATTCTAAAATTTTATGTTATTTCTGACATTTTTGCTTTTGAACAATGAAATTTAAAATAAAAATGACAAAGTTATAGCGCTTTACTTTGTTGCAATACATATCAGCCACCCTGTATGTTTGACAATTTCACATTTAATATTAAAAAAGTCTTTATTAAATAGACTATTTTTTAAAATATCTTCACATGATGTAGGGTCTTCTGTTATTTCCAATTCATCATTATTCGTTGAGATTGTCTTGTTGAGGCTTTATTAATGATTCTTCATTTTCTAACTGATTAATTTCCTGAATTGCTAAATCTATTTCTTTACTATGATATTCACTACCTAAAATCCACACAATATGAGCAAACATTTTTTGAGCATAGTTCAAATCTCTACATTTTTCTCCTAATAATTGATCTTACGGACAACGATTCTAATTGCTTATTACCGTTTGCAATTTTTTTTGCATGATATGACAGTCTCTTGGTGAAATGACTGCAACATAAATGCAATGTTATGTTCTCTGTAAAATTGTTGGAAAATTTATTATTTAAGAACATATAACATTTATTAATATAATCAATTAATAAATGCTTGCATAGTTGTGGTCGCAACGACTCGATTAAATTCGAACGACCACCAAATTCATCTACACAATCTCTAAGACTGTTTTCGATCGTTCTAACATTATGTTTATGTGATATAAAATTAATTAGTGGATATGTATAACGACCAGTACTTGTGGTGACTGGCAATACACCTGAATATAAATAAATTCTGTTACATTTTTCAAAAGGTTCTTTTATTAAACTACCCGTTGCATCAAAATGCAGTACTGCTTCTTCATTATTTTGAAAATACTTATTTAATATACCATATGGATTATGACTTGTTATTATGGGAACAAAGTTTAAACAGCCACGTAAAAATTGCTTGTATTGAGGTTTTTTAATTTGTTCTAACTGATATAGCATTACATCTAAGATGTCGTTGGAATGTAAGTCCTTTTTTCTTATTTTCTTCACACTTTGCTTGACGCAAGCAAACTTGTGAAGGAAGATTGTATACTTTACCGAACGCATCATATGCTTCAGGAAATTCTGCTTCCATATCGTGGAACTCTGCTGGATACGGCATGCTAGTGGTTTCTGATGTTTCAGCTTTTTTTTTAAATCATCTCTATCTTTTCCTCTTAGTTGCCTACACCTAATAATTGGATTACAGGCAGTCCTCGTACTTACGGCATGTTAGGTTCTCGAAATACGCGACGTAAATCGAAACGACGTAAGTCGAGACATATTTTTTCATATGTTTACATGTAAAACTCAAGGGTTAGGTTCCACACGGACTCGAAATAATAAAAAAAAACTGCATTTATAACAAAGGACGTACTTTATTATTAAAAGTAAGTTCTTGAAATAATTATATATTATGCACTTATGAAATTGCTAGTTATTTTTGGTATTCGTGTATTATTAATTTTAATAATAATTATAAAACTTATACATATGTAATGATAAATAATAAATTAAACTTTTGGCTTAAAGAAACTATCAATTCTAGATTGCTTGGCTTCTTTCTTCTTGCTATCATACAGATCTTGGTAACAGTGATAGGCTGCACAAATTTTGTTATTAACGTTAAAACTTCTCTCAAAATTAGGATCATTTTCTTCAAAAATTTTCCTGGCATTCTTCAAATTTGCAAAGGCTACGGAAAGTTTTTTTAGTGTAAGTTCTTTTTCAGAGTCACTAATAGAAGAAGCTATTTCTTGTGACTCGAGTGCTTCCTTTTGTACTTGTGCCTCCAATTCAATAAGATCTTCATCAGTCAGTTCTTGCGAATGTGAGCTTAACAGATCATCAATATCATCAGTAGTAACGGCAATGTCAGGGAAACGGTTAGCCAAATGAACAATGTCAGTTGTGATCTTATCGACATTTGATTGATCTGTAGAAGTAGAACTTTCAGATGGCTCAAAAAAAATGGGCATAACTTTTTCCACACTCCTTTTAAATTGTTGGGTGTCACCTCATCCCATGAAGTAGCAATATTTTTTACGCATTGCAGGATATTATAACTTTTCCAAAAATCTCTCAGCTCCATGCCATCATTTTCATTAGCCTTTACAGCCTGTGAAAAAGTTCTCCTGAGATAATAGGCCTTAAAAGACGCGATAACTCTTTGATCCATCGGCTGTAACAAAGAAGTGGTGTTGGGAGGCAGGAACACGACTTTGATTTGAGGATCAATATCGGCAATACGCACAGGATGGCCGGGAGCATTTTCCAAAATAAGTAAAGCTTTATAAGCCAAATTATTGTTTGAACAGTACTGTTTCACTTCAGGTATAAAATGCTTAGTAAACCATTCTTCAAAAAGTATTGATGTAACCCATGCCTTTGGATTAGCCTTCCATATAACTGGAAGAGTACTCTTGACGTAATTTTTGAGAGCTCGAGGATTTTCAGACCTATAAACTAAAAGGGGTTTCAATTTACGATCACCTTCAACATTCGAACCCAATAACAACGTCAAACGATCTTTAGCCGCTTTAAATCCAGGCATAGACTTTTCTTCCTGTGATATAAAAGTACGAGAGGGCATTTTTTTTCCAACACAAACCAGTTTCGTCCACGTTAAAAATTTGTTTAGGCGAATAGTCTCCACTTTCGATAATTTCCTTTAATATTCCAGGAAAACTCTGAGCAGCCACATGATCGACACTAGCAGCTTCTCCTTGCACTCGAATGTTATGTAACGAATATCTCGTTTTAAAGCGCATGAACCATCCGCGACTGGCAGAAAAACATTTTGTTTCGTCACTATTATTCTCGCCACGTTTATTTTGCAGTGTGTTCATGATACTCAGCGCCTTATTTTGTATAATAGCCAAACTTAGAGGAACCCGTCGCTGAGTTTGATCTTGAATCCAATTGTACAACAGTTTTTCCATTTCATAAATTAAAGCATTCCTTTTGCGTATAATAGTGCTGTTTGAAGAGACGGAAGGAAGAGCTGTTAAGAGTTTTTCTTTATCTTTCAATATTGTTTGTACCGTCGTGCGTGATAAATTAAGTTCTCGTCCAATAGATGAAGTCGAATAACCGCGATCTTTGAGTTTTAAAATCTTAGATTTAACCTCCATTGTAATTGACTTTCTTACTCTCTTCTTCACTTTATTATTACTGTCTTGTTTAGGTGGCATTGTTTAAAATTCACTTAAATATGTATGTAAACACAAAAACTGTCAAAGATGCAAAAAAACTAATTTATTACGTCTTGATTGTCCGTTGTCCCTGAATGTACTAAACAAAATCAGCGACATTTGCGGGGTATTCCCCGCACGAGACGACACCGCGCCCCGCCCGCGCCCCTCACGGACATTGACCTTGCGACAAGTGAATTCTCCGATATGCCGGAAATCGAAACAAATGACGTATGCTTGAGGAATAGTGTCAAAACATTATTTGACGTAACTTGAAACGATGTAAATCGAAACGACGTAAGTCGAGGACCGCCTGTATTTACTATACCATGATTAACTTTACCTTCAGGTGTGATTAAAACTTTTTCAATAATTTTTTGATCAGGATCAAATTTTATATTAACATTAAATATCATGCAATTTCCAACTTTCTTCACTTCCTTTTTATTGCAATTCTTGGGGCAATAAGTTTTTATATGAGCACTAGTTTTTTTCACACGTCCTTAACGAAAGTTCAAATCGCAAGGATATACTGCAGCTTTCCTAAAACACTTCAAAAATGCTTCTTTATAAGATTTATTCATTTTAACTGTACCATCGACTATGTGAAATAAATCCTCGAACTGAAAATCTAAAAAAAATTGTCGATACTCCCTCGAGGATTCGGCTGTAATACTCATAGATGCAGTTTTGATATTACTATATTCTAAAGAACAATTATTACCAGTCAATGTGCTCGAAAAAATATCCATTTTTGTTAAAAGTTTATATGGTACAAAGTAAATATTCTATAGATGAAAGATTAAAATTCTATCAGCAATAGAGATGATAAGTTAATAATAAAATATTAATCGTGTATCTTATAAATATAATATATGCCTCACCTCTAATATTGCTTTTCAATAAATTACCTAAAACTATAAATTATTACCAAGTAAATATTCTAAAAATATACTAAAATTCAATAAGGAATAATGATGATAAGTTATTAAATAAAATATTGATCGCGTATCTTATACGTATAACTGATATGCTGATATATAAATGATATATAACTGATAATATATAACTTATAAGTGTATAGTTTTATAGGTTCCGTACCTATGTTGACATTCTCAAAAACGGTTAGATCGATTTCAAAAATTTAAAAGCCTAATATTAATTTAATTTTTCATTATTTACAATGAAAAAACAACCAACCCACCTCACTATATTATTCCAGTCCTTTTTAATTCCTAGTGAACGAACTCTGTCTCAATGCTCCTTCTAATTTTATCTCGATTATATGTTGATTGAACGCACTGAATTTCTAACACACTAATTACCACAAATTTACAATATGATGAATTATGAACCACTTTTGCAAAGAGAACGCAAATAAATATAACTTACGTGGATTCACACACACACACGCACGTATAGTGAATAATTTCTTATGTTATATACGAACAGGGCCGCATTAAGAAATTTGGCGCCCCGGGGCACTGACAAAAATGCCGCCCCATCCCTGAAATTTTACGGACTTTCGAACTTTTTTTAAAGCAATCGTGCTGCTTCAGCTGCGAGGAACAAAATATAGAAGCGCGTAAGCGCCGCGTCGCAGTCTAACTGATAAACAATGTTACAGAACTTATATAAATGTAAACAAAATTTATACTTATTATTATAATGACTTTAAAATATCTGATAATTTAATGTGCATATGTCTAATGATCACTCCAAACCTCCAATATTATTAAAAGAAATTTACATATATAGACAAAATGGAGAACAGATTAAATTTGTGGGAGGCAGGTCTAGCGGTTTCGGTGACCCAACAAAAAAATTTGAAAGAGAAACATTTGGCGGTCAAAAATGATCATTAGCCATATGCACATTAAATTATCAGATATTTTAATAATATAAATTTTGTTTACATTTCTATGGGTTCTGTAAAATTATTTATCTGTTATTCTTTATTTTCGTCTTCTTTATTTTGTCTGTACGCAGCTAAAGCAGGCCGATCGCTTTAATTTGTTTTTTAAATTATAATTTTTGCTACGGGAAGTTTCAGCAATTTATCTTAAGGCACGATACCAAGCACCACTATTTACAATATGTAATGCGTAATAAATTTTCTGCAATCAAATAGTTATTTTAATTTTAGAAAAATGATATATATATATATATATATATATATAAACTATTTTAAGTACAAATTTAGGGATGGGGCTGCATTTTTGTCAGTGCCCCAGGGCGCCAATTTTTCTAAATCCAGCCTTGTTACTGTGATTAATGCAAATCCATGATTTTCTTCGAACGACTTGATTTTTGTTCACGTTTATAATCTTTTAATATGTACTCGAACATCTATCTGCTGTATTAAATTCATAGCCTAACAATAATCGATTATAATTGTATTAATTGATCCATTTTCAGGCCAAACTTGTGAGGTTTTTCCAAGATTATCGGACAATCGCACAGCTTCTTAAACGGTATGAAAATTGTCGCGTGAATGATAATATTTTTCGTAGATTGCTGTATTTTTGTTTATAGAGGAAATTAATTGGATTTAATATAAGTAGGTGCAGATAGCCACAAATAGTTTTGGTTATAATAAAAATTTTCGTCCACGTTTTGGCCCGCTATTCTCAATCGATTTTGAAAATTCACAAACTGTTCGAAAGATATTTGTTGGAAATGATACTGATTAGTTTTCAATTACTGTGATTCATGCAATCAAATGACTTGATGTTTGTTCACGTTTATAATCTCTTAATATGTACCCAAACATCTGCTGTATTAAATTCATAGCCTAACAATTACAATATTTAATGAATTGAAATGAAATGAAATTACAATAATTAATGAATATTTGCACTATATCAATGGAACATTGAAAAGATAATAGTTGGAAATGATACTGATTAGTTTTATATTATAATTTTTAATCTGTGTGGACGCACTACCTTCGCGTATATAAATCGGGTAAACGTCCCTTTGAGTGCATTTGCAATCAAGCGCGCTAAGTGAATAGTAGAATTAGAACAGTGCTGTTGTAGCAGAGTGATAAAATGGCATCAGTTATGGAAGATATTGGTAATTTATTCTATTTTATTATATTATATATTATATATATATATCTAATTATATATATATATATATATATATATATAATATATATATATATATTATTATATATATATATTATTATATATATTATTATTATATATATTATTTTTCGTTCAACGACTGTTTTTTTAAACAAAAATTTGGCACTCCAATGGGTTCCAGTTTGAGTGCCCCACTTGCTGAACTTTGTATGCAGTTCCTAGAGAACTCTACACTTAATACCTTGTCTTATGTACCTCTTTTTTACAAACGTTACGTTGATGACATTTTAACTTGCATACCTACTTATAACATAACCAATTTCCTAAATTCTTTTAATAATTTCGACACACACCTTTGTTTTACCGTAGAGACCCACCTTAACAACTCCATTAATTTTTTAGATATTACCCTTTTTATAAATAACGGCTCCATCACTACATGTTGGTATCAAAAATCCACTTGGTCTGGACGTTATTTAAATTACCATTCCTATCGCCCCAAATCGACTAAGATTGCATCTATCATCAACTTACTAGACCATGCCATCCTTCTTTCTCATCCATCACATTGGGAAAAAAATATCAATTTGATATATTCTACCCTTCAAAATAATTCCTATCCACTACAACTTTTACGCTCAGTAATTAATAATAGATTACCATTTCTTCGTAATAAATTCCGTACATCTTCCTCATTTACCTCCCATTCACAACAAAATAGCATCACTTCACAAACCCTTAACCCTGTTCCTGAAAATTCACTATCTCTCAATTCCTTCATCTCATTACCGTACATCGATTGCCTTTTCCACTTATGGAAAAAACTTTTTTCATCCGTTGGTCTGAAACTAGTGTGTTCGACTGGACACACTCTCACAGACTTATAAACTAATTTAAAAACTCCTACCCCTATTTCCCGCACGTCAAACGTTGTATATGTCATTGATTGTAATGATTGTTCAAGTTGTTATGTTGGAGAAACTTCACAATTTCTCTCAAAAAGAATGCGCCAACACGAACTTAACAGTCTTAACAGGAAACAAAATAAAACCATGATCACCGAACATGTTTCCAACTTTAAACATTCTTTTAATTTCACCAATCCAAGAATTATTCATCGAGAAGCCAACACTTTACGCAGGAAGTTTGCTGAGAGTATTTTTATACAAATATTACCTACTATTAACAAACGTTTTGATTCGGCTTCTCTTTGCAATATTTACCGCGATGCTTCGAACAATTTTTTCAATATGCGCAATACTTCCTAACAATTCTTTTATGTTATATATATATATATATATATATATGTATGTATGCGTATATTTGTGTTGTGTATATGTACATATATACATGTTTTTGTTTGTGATATACATGTATTGGCATATATGTTGCATTTGTGTGTATATTTGGATTTTACATATATGATGTAATTGCATGTGTGCATGTGGTTGTTTATGTTAGTTATGTTTTGTGTATGTGTATGCATATGCACAATTATTGTGTTGCGTATATATACATATATATGTTGTGTTATAATTGTTTATATAATAACTTGTTTTTTAACTTTTATCGTTTTCAGTTAATATCTATACTTTTTCTTAATATAATTCTCTATTCACATATTTTTTACATTGTGCTATCTTGGTTTTATTATGTTTCTATATTTTTATTTTGATCCACATATTTCATTTTGATCCAGTTTTGTTCAACCTCTGATTATGGATGACTTACACATTTAAAAATTTTTTCTATGTTCCTTGCGCATGATCGCTGGAAAATTCTTCATAACAGTAACCTCTAAAATTCTCTCTATCCCGTTCTCTCATCCAATGACGATACAGTTTCCACTATTTTCCGCTGCAAACACGTAGGCCTACATTTTACTTTCGTTTACACACACGTAACTCT